CTTTTGACTATCTTTATAGTATCTTTTTTTTTTTTTTTTTTTTTTTAAAGATTTATTTATTTATTTATACATGCACTGGGTACAGTCAGAAGCGCAGGAGGGTGAGAGAATTCACCAGAGCCAGAGTGGGGAGCAGAACAGGCAGAAGGACCGAAGTACACTGCTGAGGGGAGCAGCGGGAGGCAGGAGAGGTCTGCGCGCCATGTGGGACCCTCCTCCGGTGGCTGGGGAGCAGCCAGGGATCGAACCAGCACTGCAGAGGCTGCGGGCAGCTTCGCAACCCAGCGCTCAACTGCTGCGCCACTGGGGAGGCCCTATAGTATCTTTTTTTTAAGATTTATTTTATTTATACAAGAACTGGGGTACAAACCAGAGGCGTGGGAGGGTGAGAGAATTCACCAGAGACAGAACCAGGAGCAGAACAGGCAGATGGACAGAAAACACTGCTGAGGGAAGCAGCCTGCGAGACAGGAGAGCTCTGCCGCGCCATGTGGGAATCTCCCTGGCCGGCTGGGAATCAAATCCACGCTGCACAGCCTATGGACAGCTTCACAGAGCTGTGCTCAACCTGCTGCACTGTAGGCCTTATAGTATCTTTTGATGAGAAATTATTTTCATCAAGCAAATTTAATGACTTTTGTTTCACAGCTAAAGCTTTTGAGATCTTAAAAAATCCTTCCCTAGCTACAACTTACTAATTAATCTTTCAAAACTCCATGACCTCTTGTTTAAATTTTGGTTCATAATCTACCTGGAATTAATTTTTCTGGATAAAGTGAGGTAGGGTCCAATTAATAAATTTATTTAATAAATAAATCTTTAAAAATAAAAGTTAAAACCTTATAAACACACACACACTCAAGAAGTCTAATCCAATATCTATCGGAGCTTCACTAATATCTGGCTTCTCTTTCTTATATTCCTTTTGCAAAAATATGCACATACATACTTATACAATTTATGTAAGTATAATTTTGCCTTCTTTTTTAATCAAAAGTTAGAAGACAGAGTATTAAGAGATTTTTAATGTAAATATTTCAATAAAAATGACCTAAGCATTGCTTTAAAAAGCCCTCTCTGCCCTCAGTCTAGTTGGATTGATTCCCAGTAGGATAAAGGACATTTCCAGAGACTCCTCCCCTCAGTCTCCAGCATTGCCAGAGAAAAGGCAAATGCAAGTGTCTCCTCTTGACCTGAAGTCCAGGTTGTTCTACTGAGGAACTCCTCCAGCTCTAAAGCATTATAAACAGCGTACAGGAGAGAAAGTAAGACATCAAATTCCTCAATACACTGGCAGGTAGTTAAAACTTGGTGATGCAGAGTTAACCTACACTACAATTTATCAGAATTCTCTGCTACCTCTAAATCAGGGTAAAAATGATGAATTTTTTAAAAAGATTTATTTATTTATGCGCACAAGAACTGGGGTACAGGGCCTCCCCTGGTGGTGCAGGCGGTTAAGCAGAGCGCTGTGCTGTGAAGCTGTCCGCAGCCTCTGAGGCTGGTGGGGTCCCACGTGGTGAAGCAGACCTCTCCTGTCTCGCCCGCTGCTCCCCTCAGCAGTGTATTTTGTCAGTCTGCCTGTTCTGTTCCCGGCTCTGTCTCTGGTGAATCCTCTCACCCGCAGTGCATCTGGCCTGTACCCCGGTTCTTGTATAAAATAAATAAATATATCTTTAAAAAAAAATAGAAGAACCAGGGTACAGGCCAGAGGTGGGGGGGGGGGAAGAGGATTCACCAGAGACAGAGTGGGAAATACACTGCTGAGGGGCACAGCAGGCAAGACAGGAGAGGTCTGCTGCACCATGTGGGTTGCTCCCTGGCCAGCCCAGGTGCCCATAAAGTGATGACATTTTTAAGCAAAAATGATGCTGGCCATTCTAAAGTTCATTTGGAAAAACAAACACCTAAGTATAACCAGGAAAATTCTAAAAAAGAATCCAAATGAGACATGAACTAGCCTTCTCAGTTATTTAAATACTGTATAAAACAAGAGCAAAAATAACTTGGTCCTGGTGCATGAATCTACAGACCAGTGTAATATATAAAATATACAATGTAATATATATAACATTATATAATATTACATTATAATATTACATTATATAATATTACATTATATAATATTATATTATATAATATTACATTATATAATATTACATTATATAATCTATATAATGTAATATATAGAATAAAAAGTCCAGAAACAGCCCTCTATATATACAAGAATTTAGTATATAATAGAGATAAGATTTCTAACAGAAAAGAAAAGATATATAACCAGTCATTGAATAGTGTTGGGACAAGTATACATCCTGCCATCCAAATCAAAGTGGGCTTCCTAATTTACTTTTTCCTATATCAAAATAGTATGCAAAATATTTCATCTTATATGGATAAAAAATTTGAGTGCTGGGGACCTCCGTTGTGGCCAGGGGTTAAGTCTCATTACTATTATTATGAGGGCCCTCTTGCAGCAAAGCAGCCTGAGTTCAATTCCCTCCCTGGCCAGGGAGCTGACCCACATGGTGCAGCAGACCTCTCCTGTTTCGCACGCTCAGCAGTTTATTTCAGTAGCTCCGCCTGTTCTGCTCCCCACTCTGTCTCTGGTGAATCCTCTCACCCCCTGCACCTCTCGCCTGTACCCCAGTTCTTTTATCCATAAATAAATAAAAATATGGTAACTTTATAGATTTTTCTAAAAAACCAAACAGTCTTAAAGTATTAATAACTGACTCAATAAAAACCATTTTCCTCATAAGCAAAGGGTATACTCAAAGTCAAGACACGATTAAAAAAAAAGATACAAGTATTTGTAATACACAATTTGGAACAATTTTTCTAAAATAGAGTTCTCAGAGATCAATCAAAAACCTAACTGCCTAAAATGGGCAACAAAAAGACAGACAAATGGCGTTAAACCAAGATTTCTCAATCACTGCACTATCTGACATTTTGGACAAGATAATGCTTTGATTGTAGGGGCTGTCATGTGTATTACAGGATTTTTACCAACATAACTGAACTCTACATATTAGATGCCAGTAGCAGCACTCCCTACCCCACTCTGATAATCAAAATGTTCCCAGATATTCCCAAATATCCTATGGAGGTCAGAATTGCTCTTGATGAGGACCACTGCTTTAAACATATAAAAAGATCCTGATTGAGCTCTCCTACCTGCTGGCCTATGTCTATACAGGTACCTCTTTTTTTGCCTTTCTCCTTTTCCTAATCGATCTGTCCTTTTAAAATGTTTAAAAACAAAAATCCTGATTCTATTTCACAGTGCAAATTTTTATTGTATTTTTCGCTAATTAGATTTTATTATCAAAACAAATTTTCCTGGGTCTCCCGGGTGGCGTTGAGCGCTGCTGCCCACAGCCTCTGCAGCGCCAGTTCCATCCCCACCTGCTCCCCGGCCACCGGAGGAGGGTCCCACATGGCACAGCAGACCTCTCCTGCCGCCCACTGCTCCCCTCAGCAGTGTACTTTGGTCCTTCTGCCTGCTCTGCTCCCTGCTCTGGCTCTGGTGAATTCTCTCACCCTCTGGTGCTTCTGACTGTATCCAGTGCTTATATAAATAAATAAATCTTTAAAAAAATAAAATAAAAAAAAATTTCCTTCCCCCAAAATAAATGTTTTATTATCAAACATTTTGCTGTTTGCCAAAGTGCTGGATTAGGAAATATCATTCATCCTTGTGGACGTGTGACCTCTTTGGAGGACTACTGGTATTAGCTATCAAAATTTAAAGTGCATATACAGTACTCTTTGAAGCAGCAACTTCATTTCCAGGAACTAATCATATAGGTATACCAAAATGTGTGCTAAACAGGTACAGGAACAGGAGACTACACAACAGAATACACAGTAATCATTGTGGCAAAGATGGAGTAACAAAAAAACTAGACAAAATCTGGTATCCAGTGATAGGGAACATTTACAAGTTAAGTAAATGATTACACATCAACACAACCATTAAGAGGGAAGAAGATCTACAAGTACTGAAAAATATGTAACCAAGACATATTAGATAAAAATAACAAGGCCCAGGAGGGAGATTGCTACTATTTCTTCAAACTGTGTTGAGTACAAAATATGTTTTTAAATGCATATGGTATCTTTGGAAAGATACCAGAGAGTACTGGGGGAAAGTTAAGGATGAAGAAACACAATTTCAATTCTACACCCTCTGGAGCTGTTTAAGTCTTTGGCTACATGCCTTTATGTTTCAAGTAAATTACGGAATGGACAGCTCACTTAGCTCAAGACTCCCTTACCTGACAGCAATAGAAAATAGAATGGTGGTTGCTAGGGGGTAGGGAGAAGAAGAAAGGGAGCTGTTCAGTGAGTAAAGAGTTCTGCAAGTAGAAAAAGTTCCGCATAACAGCACAGCAGCGCACACAAACTACACATTACTGAACCTACAGTTAAAAATGGTTAAAAGAGCAAATTTTACGTTAAGTGTATTTTATCACATTTACAAATCTTGTAAAAGTGAACCCTCCCAAAAGATACACACTTTCAGATTCATTTTTGCTACTAAATTTTAAATCACTTTTTAAATACCCCATTATTTTATTATTCCAAAATTGAGCGTTTAGAACAAGTGGAGACTCACTGGGTGCACGAGTGTTACAACGACCTTTCCCCTAGAACTTGCACGCCCTCAACACGATACGCAGTTATTGCCAAACCCAAGGTGGGGCCCGTCCTGGGGACGGCGGGGTTACCCACTCTGGATTCTTTCCCGTGGAAGATGTGCTGCTTTTTTTTTTTACAAGGCTGTAATCTTAACAACTTTGGGTTACTTTTCCCCCTTTACCGCAGATTTGAGGAACCCCGCGTGCAGCACCCACCAGCTCTCCAGACCCGGCCGGGCTGTTTCCTTAAACCCCCGCCCCCACCGCCGGGGCCGGGCCCCGGGTCATCCACGGCACCCCACCTAGCCCCGACTCCTCCCGGCCGGGCCTCCCCGCCCGGCCCCGACCCCTTACCCGGTGTTGGGTAACATGACTTCGGTAGATCAGGGTCGGCGACAAAATCCGAAGAAGAGAGGAGATAGTGAAAGGCGGACCGACCCTCCGCACTTAGCCCCGCCCCCAGACCCCGCCCCCGAGGCCCCGCCCCGCGGCCTGCGGGGGAATGGGGATTTGAAGAAGCGGGAGGTCGCTGAGTGCGCCTGCGCACGCAGTGGGCCTCCCGGCGCTCGGCGCTCGCTTCCGCCTGCCTCTGCCAGGTCCTTGGAAACGTGCTCTCTGCGCAAGCGCTGTGAGTCAGCTCCGCCCACCCCTCTCGTCGGGCTGTAAGGTGACAATCGGCCTCCCGCCAGCGTCCGGCTCGCCAGGCGCGTCGCCGCTACGTAGGCTTTCCCCCGCCAGTGAAAGGCTCCTCGCGGCCGCGCTGCGGCCCCTGGCCCGCGGGGCAGCCGACTGAGCCCTGCGCTAGACCTTGGGGCTGGGATGCGGCTTATCCTCAACGGCGTCTGACCCGGGAGTGCGTGGGCCCCGGGTCTTCCCTTCCTCGACGCCCGAACCTGGTCTCCTGTGCTGCGGCTCTGCTTTTCCGCGTCAGTGTCGCTTTCTGCCGCAGGCCGGGCGGCGTCGCGTTTCGCCTGTCTCACCGAATCTGGACTAACGCTGGCGGCGGATCTCGCGCGTCCGTGGGGAGCCGGGGGGTGGGGGCAGCTTCTGGAGGGAGTTTGCCAGAGTCGCGCGGAAGATTGCGTCGTGAGGGCTGAGTTCCTGCCTCCGGGGCAGTATCTCGGCGGGAAGACTCCCAAACTTGGTGCTGGAACGGGGTGAACGCCGGAATCCAGTATTGCTGTTGGTAGTTAGTATGTTTTTGGACTTAGCTACCCTAGTGAACTGGTATAGTATTAGGACGTGAAGAAATTGCTGTGTGTTTTGAAGGCGTAGAACAGGATGACGAGGAGATTGTTATACGAGGACTGGTTAAAATAAACTAGCCTGGAGATGGGGTGTGTACTAGTTACCTAGTATATTACAAGCCCTAAATGGCTCGTAATTCATTTATATCACTTGCCAATCTATAGGCATTTGAATTTGCAACTCATGACTCTTAGAGACCCTGGAGGAATTTTTTTTTAGCTTTTTATTTTTTTAATTTTTTTAATAAATTAATTTTTTCTCAAAGACATCTCATTTTTCATAAGACTTTCTATAGACACATTTGTTTGCTCCTGAAAATTGAAATTGCAAATCAAAAACTATTACAATTCAGGGCCTCCCCGGTGGTGCAGCGGTTGAGCGCTGGGTTGCGAAGCTGCCCGCAGCACTCTGCAGTGCCGGTTCGATCCCCGGCTGCTCCCCGGCCACCGGAGGAGGGTCCCACATGGCGCGCAGACCTCTCCTGACACCCGCTGCTCCCCTCAGCAGTGTGCTTCGGTCCTTCCACCTGCTCTGCTCCCCGCTCTGGCTCTGGTGAATTCTTTCACCCTCCCGCGCTTCTAACTGTACCCAGTGCTTGTATAAATAAATAAATAAATCTTAAAAAAAAAAACAAAACTATTACAATTCAAATTTTTGAAAACCAGAAACTCAAAAAACAAACAAACAAACCAGGAATTGTAGATAGAAACCCCCTACCCTAATTATGTCCTAGCCAAAACACCCAATAATTGTTTTTATTTTTTTTTATTTTTTATTTTTTTTATTTTTTATTTTTTTATTTTTAATTTTCTAGAGGCATGTCTTATTTATTTATTTATTTATTATTTGTTTGTTTGTTTGGTTTATACATGCACTGGGTACAGTCAGAAGCGTGGGAGGGTGAGAGAATTCACTAGAGCCAGAGCGGGGAGCAGAGCAGGCAGAAGGACCGAAGTACACTGCTGAGGGGAGCAGCGGGCGGCAGGAGAGGTCTGCTCACCATGTGGGACCCTCCTCCGGTGGCTGGGGAGCAGCCGGGGATCGAACCGGCTGCAGAGGCTGCAGGCAGCTTCGCAACCCAGCACTCAACCGCTGCGCCACCGGGGAGGCCCCCCAATAATTGTTTTTATTGACTTAGACCTTCCAAAATACAGAGACAACCGTGGTGCTTCTTTAAGTGAGATTTTTTTTTTTTTAAAGTGGAACCAAAGTATATTTGAAGTCATCAAATGCAAGCTGTTAGATTCCTTATAAGTACTGGAATCAAGGTAGATGCAAGAAAAAAAGACATAGAACTTCAAAATACTGGCATATAGTCCATCAGAGCATAAGTTATGTTCCCAAACTGCTGCATAATGACCCTAAAAATGATTGTCAAGAAAAAGCAGCACAATTAAGGTTTAGGACTAAAATGATTCACTGTCGGAATTCTTCTCCATGCTTGTCTTCTTGGGAAACTCTGTGATACAGGCAATAATGACAGCTACACTAAAATTTTTTTATCCTTTTTTCAATCTCCATTTCCTTCTGCCGTATTTCTTCCTGTAGCAGAGAAAATCGGTTAAGATATTGGTATCTGATTTTTACCATCCTTTCCTTTTTTTATTTTTTACATCATTGTTCATTTTAAAACAATATTTGCTTCCCCAGGAATTTTCTTATTCGGCAAACATTAGCAGCTAGTATGTACTGATCACTGGAGTTCAGCAGGGCAAAAAGGGAAAGATCTCCATTTATGTGGGGAAAAATGACAAGTAGCCAATGTGTTCTTTAACCTGTTGTAAACATTAGGTATTTTAAGATGAGCATTGATAGGTACTGTTAGGTAAAATCTTTTTCTCCACGAGAGAGAATGAAAAAACAGCCTAACAATGGGAGAAAATATTTACAAATCATATTACCTGACTAAGCCTCCTATCCAGAAAATAAAAAGAATCATAACTCAGCAACAAAAGATGTAAAATCCAGTATAAAAATGAGCAAAGGATCTGAATAGATGTTTTCCCAAAGACAAAATATAAATGGCCAGCAAATAAAGAACAGATGCCCAATATCATTATTAAGGTGGTGCAAATCAAAACCAATTCCACTTGACACCCACTAGGGTGGTTATTGGCCAGAATGTAGGGAAATTGTAATCCTCATGCATTGCTGGTAGGAATGTGAAATGAAAAAAGAAAAAAAAAAAAGAATGTAAAATGGCTCAGCCTCTTTGGAAAACAGTTCTGCAGTTCCTCAAAAAGTTAATCAGCTACCAAAATAATTCCACTCTTAGCTCTAGACCCATAGCCACCAGATGGCACTGTTATTTTAAAATTCAAAGTTATATAATAGTACAAAATGTTAATTGATTAACAATGTGGTGATATTATAATCTAATTTGGATTAAGGCAAAAATAGCATGAGGTTCTCTAGAGAACTCTTATAGAGGAGAAATATGAGGTGTACATATCCTTAAATTAGTTCTTTGGGAAAACAAGGAAAATTTATACTTTGCATCATTAAAACAGGATGTGATACACATCTGTACACATTCTAAGAAGGATTTTATATGTAATTTTTTAAATATGAAGAACACATTCAGGGCCTTCCTGGTGGCACAAGGGGTTACACACATCACAGCAAAGTGCTTAAGGATCCCTGGGGAGCTTCCCACATGGTGCCAGTAGACCTCTTTTCTCTGGCTCCCTTCTCCCCTCAGCAGTATATTTCAGTCAGTCTGCCTGTTCTGTTCCCCACTATGACTCTGGTGTGTCCTCTCACACACACACCCACGCACACCTCTGGCCTGTACCCTAGTTCTTATATGCATAAATAAATAAATAAATAAATAAATAAAAACACTTTCAGCACAATTCAGAAATTGGAATATGTACTACAGATAAAAGTATTATTAATGATACATTTCCTGATTTGATAATTTTTTTTAAAATTATATATCACTCTAAGGTATCCTCCTAAGATACACTCCTAAGTGTATCTCACTCCTAAGGATTCTAATAAAATTGGTATGGGATATACATAGGAAGTAGCATTTTTTTAAATCCCTTTAGGCTGTTTCTATATGCAGCCAGGATTGAGTATCACTGATCTTGGTATAATCCCATTTCCCTGTCAATGCCTTGTTTAGAAGTAGATATGTTATCTAGTTGTGACAAATGTGAGGTCTGCTGGGAAAGGTTTTCTTACTTTAAGAAAAACACCATAATTTTTACCTCTTCTGGATGTTATTTCTGCATGTGATGCTTAGAACAGCTGTAACTATCTTGCAGTCAGTCTGCCTGTTCCATTCCTACTCTGTCTCTGGTGAATCCTCTCACCCACCCCCCCACATCTCTGGACGGGGGTATAGGCCAGAGGTGCCAGTGGTTGCATCTTAACCCCTTGCGCAACCAGAGAGGCCCCAAGAGAGGACATATTTAAAAATTTACTGTTTTATATAACTGGCAGAGACTGCCCTTTGTCTACTCATTAGCGTTCTCACCAACAGTATCTTTTTATTCGTCTTAACCAATAGTATCTTTCTACTGTTAGAAGGGGCAATATGCCCAGTATAAACATTCCAACTCTCAGCCTCTCTTGCAAGTAAGAGTGATCAGGTGACCAAGTTATGGCCAATGAAACATAAGTGGAAGATGTTGGGGAAAACTTCTGGGAGTTTCTTTAAAGAACTTCCAGGGCCTCCCTGGTGGTGCAAGAGGTTAAGCACCACACTATGAAGCCATCCGCATCTCTGCAGCATGTTCGATCCCTGGCCGGCCAAGGAGCAGCCCACATGTCACAACAGACCTCTCCTGACTCGCCGCTGCTCCTCTCAGCAGTGTATTTCCATAGATCCGCCTGTTCTGCTCCACATTCTGTCTCTGGTGGATCCTCTCACCCCCCACATCTCTGGCCTCTACCCAGCTTTTGTATGCATGAATAAATAAATCTTTAAAAAAAAATAAAGAACTTCCAACCATTTTTGTGACCTTAAGAATAAAACTATATGCTCACATAATGGAACAAAGAAGACTAAGTCTTTGATGAACATGGAATGTCATAAGAGCTCTGAGACTACTACTTCTAGACTTCTTTTGCACAAGTAATTCATTTTTATTTTAAGGCACTGTTATTTTCAGATTTTCATATTTCTGTTATATGTAGTTGGTCTTAACTTAAATGATACATTGTCTGCACTTGATCTTGATCTCAGCTAAAAGGCTGAGAAG